CCAAGCTCCAGCCTAGTACTGACCCAGATGGCAAAAGAATAAAGGGATTCGAAAAGTCTCCTATACACTTCGATAGATTAGTATGACGTTTTGGGATTGAAACTAGCAGTGTTATTTCTCCAAAACTGACATACCCACACTGTACACCTATTAGGTATCCGAGAGATCACTGTCCCGGATGGATGAGCTCAATGGTGAAATTAGTATTCAGAACAATGAATAGCTCTTTAATCCTTGGCGCCGAGGTTTCATGAGGGAAAAATGCAAGGCAAGCCTCGCGATGTGCTTAAATTTTGTTTGTTACCAACTTAATGAAGTGTTCTTAGAAAAGGACAGGAGGCGTGATACCGAAGAACAACCATTAAATTAAGCGAGAAATTTGGGATCCGTCAGCTTTCCCCATTTCCTTCAATCTTAGACATGTAAGATATTTTGAATGTTCAAAAAATCGTTGGCCTAACGGAACGTAGACGTAGGACAGCCTTCGAATTACCTTGAAAAACTGTGTTATTCTAGTATTAAACAGTATGGAAGATTGAGTGGGAAGCGGCTCAAATATGCCACATTAATTGGGGCTGGTAGCCGAGTGGTAGTTTTTAGGGATTGGCTCACAGGGCAAATTAACCCTGCATGTACTTTGCGCGGCACGGCATCAAAAAGGTTAAGCCAATTAACAGAACAGAGACCACTGGGAGCAATCCATAAAGAGACTCGTTTGAATCACATGTGAATGAAAATTCTTCTTTGATAAACTTGAGGAAAGTTTAAGATCAGTGTTATCTACATCTTCATGACCAGTGTGATGATTACTTGCCAATGGAAATAGATCATAGCATGACCTTAGACCAACTTACACGTCATACTACACTCGGTATATGAGATTTCAATTCACCATCAATCACCAGCAACAACGATTAGACGAGTCTGCGCCGATGCAATCCAAACCAAGTCGACTTATAGGCAGACTGAAGAATGAATAGAATTTAGGATTCTTGAGACGGAACCTATGTTGTACAATGTCTCGCAATGAGGTTGGGCACTTTTCACGGGGCTAATAACTCATCACTTAATCCTCAACGGCTAAAGCCTTCAATCTGTTGTAGAAAGCTACGATATTCAAACAGAGTGTTTAAGGTAAAGAGTTAACCTCTACCCGGAATATCTAACTATACAAATAAAGGATAGCTAGCGGAGTTGAAGGACAAGTGTAGTGCTGGAGATCGATCGTAGTGATACTGAGTTTGATTCATAAAAATCATCGGATTAATCGCTGATTGTATAGCGGTGAGCCACAATAAATTAAAAAGGGGATAAGAAAATTTAAGAAAAGATATCTCGGCATCATTCAAAAGTGAGGTCATTAGTTCTGGACTCGGATATTAAAGCCATGCAATAATACAGCGGCACTTTTCTTGGATCAATCGCTCTGGTGAGGTCACGTACCTTGCTAATGACTGAGGTCCAGGAATTAGGATTACCTCAACATGAATATAAATAGCTCCAGTACGCCGTTAATACCCAGCTGTACAACCTACGGTGACAGTTTCGATTGGACTCAAGCTTGTTTATATCTGAGCTAAATGTCAAAAAATAACTCGACAATCAATCCATCATATGAAGATATGGATATTGTGCTCCTAAATTTGTTTCATTGATACAAAAGTAAACCTTCTCGGGAATTTATTCTTTCGAATATTTGTTTGTATATCTCGTAAGATAAATTAAGCTTTAAAGACTCCCAAGGATGTGACACGAAATCATGATGATATTACTCGATATGATCAAATGAATTACACATGCAATAATTCAGATTGTGGGCAAAAAGAAGAAGAAAAAGACAAAAAAAGACATGGTCACCACGGTCTCTATGAATACTTTTATGCCAACGAATCGGTTCGTATCAAAAATTTATCCATTTTTGGTACGATTGTATGATTCAACTTCTTCGTGTAAAAGTTTTCAGACAAGCTTGTATTTGTCTTACAAAGGGATGGAAAGATTTAAAAAAAAAGCAACAAGAATGATTACTGGACATAGGAGAGTGACGAAAAATATACTTTATTCGATATTTGAAGTATAACCTCAGTCGGGCGAGCAATAACATGGGGAAGATGGATTTTTTGATGAATAAAATAATGAACTGGGTCATAAATTTTCCAAAGTTTCAGTCGAAGCTTACAATTATCCGAAAAGAGATATATAGACAAAATGATTCTGGTCGGTATAGTTATCACGTTGTCAACGGAGCTCTTCATTCCCAATCGAGGAATATTTATTAAATGATGAAACCTTCTTGGCATATCAGTTTCGACTAAAGTACCAGCCACATTTTTGTCTCGACGCCGAATTGCGTTCAATAAGCTGCAAGAATAAATAATCGATATTGATTTTATTTGGTCATTTTTAGAAAAGACGCATAAGGATGGAATTTCTATTCCATAACAAGCTTTAACTGATGAATTTTCTGACATGAATGAGTAAGCTTGAGGTATAATCAACGTATTTTGGACGAAATAGGTCGATTTCATGGAATAGTCTGTCAGAAGTCCAGAACACATACGGCAGTATTTTATCGGATGGCAATAGTTGTTAAGAACAGATACTACCAGCACAAACTAGAGCAACTGACTTGTACTCAATGAAAACAGGCCACTCTTCTTGTATCTAGATGTGAGATGAAAATGGGACTGAATCATGAGAGGTGATCATTGGTAAGATTATGATCAAATAAGTTTTGAGGTCCTAATTGCTTGGAATAATGGATGAAATAAAACCTTTAAGATTCAAATCAACATCCCAATTATCAACATTCTTTTTAGCACAATGATCCTGAAGCATGCTGCGACTAAGACATGGGGGAAAACGTTTAAGGGATTCTCATTGCGGACAATCGGCCAAAGACAATATGAAAAACCTGGAAACTTGTTGGAAATCAGTGATATTTGATTAGGACGCATATTGTCGCAATTTGAAATGCCATTTTCAGTATGATGCTAACCGTAAGCTGAGAGAGATAGAGTGTGCGCTCAAACCTTGTGTCAAAGAATCTTGATGCCAAATTTAGCGCAATAATGCCTACCAGTAGATGAATAGAATAACCTGAAAGAACGAATGGAAATTTTGAGACGCGAACTTTTGAGTCAATCCTAGAATATGTTAACGGAATTCCGAATGTACTCCTTACCACAATATAGCCGGAACCTATCTTTTTTCAGAATGCCAAACTGATGGGCAGGATAAGCCTTCTTTAAGGATCACGATTTATTTAGCTAGACCTTTCTTCAAATGAGTAAACAAGTAGCTGGAGAGTATCTGGGCTTACTTCAAAGGCTGTGACGAGAAGAAATTATTACTATTCTCAAGTCGCTCTTCAGACTTCACGCAACCCCAATATCAAATCTACTCTTAACTTTTATTCTCATTCGTAGACAGGTACGAGCGAAAAATGAAGGCTCCTACGCTTTACCAAAGGAATATTGAATGGGTGCCCACGTTAACGACACAAAAAGAGGGGCTCGAGCTCATTATTTCCATCGCTCCTTCTCTTTTTTAATCACTTTATCAGTACGAGCTGGTTACGACTATTGATGACAAGGCCATGTACGTTGAGCATTGTGAATTCAAGGGTGTTCGATGAAGGAAAAGCGCAGCCTAACAAGGAAGTTATTTCCCTCTTACTAGATTCACGTGTTGGTCACGATACTCAAATACTGCCTCATTGTGGCTTGTCTTAACACGTATGACGCAAAGGACGATAAAGAGAATACTGGAAGAGATGAATGTGTGAGGAGAGGAAATCAACTAGCCACTGATGGGAAGATGAATATCTGTAGGAAATTAAGGAACTCAAAGATGTGTTCGACCACTTGTTTATTCTATCCTTCCCTAGGTAAGCGTTACGAACTATGAGGAAGTTAGTTTGTGACCCAAATAGAGGGAAGTCTTCGGAATCACCGAATCTCGGTGCTCGGCGCTCGGTCCTCGATGCTCAAATCGCTTTTCACTGCATCTACCGATCTCTTCGCTATCGCAGTTACCCAATATTAGCGGTCGCGCTGACTCAAAAGACATGTGCTAAATGCCTAGGATCAAAGTGTACAGCTAGTGATGGATAGGGCGAGTTGTAATAATCATCATTCTAGGAGACTCGGGATAGTCTCCAAACGAGACGAATAGAATCACAGTACAGTCAAAATGTACGGCTACACAATTTCTTCTGGATCAACTTCTTGTGAGATGAACTATGGCCATGTCTACGGATAGTTTGCTCACACTATCTCGTACTCTCCTACACCAGTTAGGACGATATAGCGAAAAGCTCATGTCTGGAGGAGACAAGACGCTAGTGATTTGTTCCTTCCGTCGCAAGCTTGTCCCTAGGATATAGGGGACAGAATTTCAGATGATGCGAGCGAGGGCCTCATCTAGACATCTAATCCTGAGTGAAATCAATTCCTTGCTCTTTCAATATCTTAGTTCATCTTCCGAAAATGTCCGAAATAAAACAACCAACCCAATCACCTCGTGACACTACTAGCTTTACACGGTCTAGATGCCATTCTATCCTTAACTTGCTCAAGCGGTCAAAGCACGGATAGAATATTGCCGTCGTTTACAATGTTTGTGGTTACGAGAAACTTATCGGCTAACGAACCGAACTTATCATTGGTCAGTTTCATGGGCCTAGATGAATAGTAGAGTGGGGTATTATGAAAGAGTGAGCTTGTTTACAATCTGAGACGGAAAAATAGTAAACAATACTTGGGTTTAAAAGGGGCCGAAGGCTGTAGTGGTTGAATTCTTTCTGTATCACTTCCAACAATTTTGCAACAACTCTTCTAATTTTCACAACATTAAACCGTCATTAACTGACAACCCAACCAATCAAACTCTTAAAGCAATTAATACCCCATTTACTTCAACATGGACTATGTTACAACAACAGCAATTAAGTACGAGAATGAATATCATATATTCAGTGCTCCGCTAACATACATAACAGCACATCAACTACTACCCAGCCCTCGAACACTTCGACATCACCACCAAAAAGACGGAGAATCTCCCGCGCTTGTGATGTCTGTCGAAAGAGGAAGGTGAAGTGTGATGGGAAACAACCATGTGCACATTGTATGTCAAATAATTTAGGTATGGTACTAAAGACACGGAATGAATTTACTCCACTAAATTGAAACCACAGTTTGTACTTATAATCGGCCTTCAAATAGACAAAAGAGGCTTAGTCTAAAAGAGTTCGAAGTGATGAAGAGGCGTCTACGTGAAGTCGAGACCTTGATCGACACTTTTACCGAAGAAAGGGATGGTGATAGTTTGTACCCAGATACCCCCATTTCACGATTCGACTCTAATTAAAATACATTAGATAATTCGCCACCCAGTACACTTCACGATAGCGATCATCAGGTACAAATGAACAATAGCTATCGTGAAGCGAATGAGCACCTAGAGGAGATAGTTCGCTGTCTAGCTCCTGAAGTTGGAACTCATTTTCAAAATGAGAACGCCAACGAGGAGCTCATTGGCGACCTGTCTTGTGGCTATTTGCTACAGAATAGCACGGACCACGTGGAAGAAAGGCTAAGTTGTTGGAACAGTACTCATACATACTTTAATTATGATAATCATTATTAATTCATTCATGTCCCATTCGAGTTTGTTATACTTTGATAACATTCCGTGAAATTTGTCTTAACCAATTGTAACGTCAGTCCAACATAATATATTGACGGCATTCTTACGTGACTCCAAAAAAAGTTGGCCCAGATAGAAATATGAATGTAAATATATACTATAGCTAATGCATCGTTATTTTAAATCTATATTTCTACTATTGAGTCTATGCGTTGTCATAGGACACTAGTCACGTGCTATATGGACGCTAGGACTAATATTGATCTACTTTTATGTATATACATTGTTTAGTGAACCGACCTATCCTTCTCTCTCTATAGATTACAATCGTATTATTGTTTTGCCTTTAGTCAGAGCCTTTCCTGAACCTTATGCTATCATATGCGTGTATACCGTATTGTTCCAACATAAGTAATTATCAGACTGAATCATGTTGAGATTCCATTTCAGATATATCCTCGTCCTATTTCACACTGATAATATCCGCTCATATCTGCTCAAACTCCTTAGAGATACATCTTCGAAAACCTACAAACTTTGGGGAGAGCATCAATATTGTCGGTAAATATGCTTTATTTGTGTGATGTTTATGTAACATGCTGGTCATTGCGCCCTTGTAGTATCATTATATGGTAGATTTCCTACTAGAAGAGGGAGAGATAGATAGAATCATTTGTTATCCACTAGTTATAACGTGAATCTTTTCCAACAAGTATTGTATGAAGTCGCTATAGCGGGACACACTCCCTATATTGTTTTACTTATTTGCCCACCTTTTAGGAGAAGCTAAGCACGACTTAAATACTCATGAGTGATAATTCTATAGATGGAGAGAGTCGATTTCTGCCTCCTCTTTTCTCAATATTCTTCTAGGGTTGTAATTTACAAAATTAAAGTCCAATTAAATGTCATAGATGAGGAGATTGGATAAGTGGAACAAGAGATGATAAAGAGTGATATTTGCATCATTTTATGGTTCATCCGATGTTTAAGATGAGCCATGCAACTAACCTTGGATTGGGGATGATTATTTTCCATTTTCAAGAAGCACCATAGACGTTTCCAATGGTGAAACTGTTCCATCATTGCAACAGTTTCATTCATGATTCTTTATCTCTAATCGACTACCGACCTGAGAGTGTGATTACCTACATTCAAATGGTATAGAGATCGGCTTTTCGAATGGGGTGGCATCGTAATCTAACTAATCAATGTAAGCCAATTGAACGCAAAGTACGACGGAGAGTCTTTTGGATGATTCAAAAGATAGATATCTCAATGTAAGCAGTGTTGGATACTCCAAGATCATAGATATGGATATTACTGACCAAGAAACGTCCATAGAAGAAGAATACATGAAGATCACTGAGACTTGTGTCAATGATTTGCCAGAAACTAGTCAGTCAGCATCACATCAAGCAGCCAACGCATATATGCGATTGATTATTATTCTTGATAAAGTAATAAAGTCTATTTACCCCAGCAAAGTATGCGGGAGATCTGCCAGTCAAGCCTCGACAGTGGCAAATGTTATTGATCATACCACGAGGCGCGAAATTGAAGTTGATTTTTGTTGATGGCATCAAGAGTTTCTAACGAGTGACTTTTCTGACAGGAGTGAAGAAATGCAGATTTACTAGGAAGCATACGACGTGGACCAAAGTTATTGGAATAAATGTCTCAACTAAATTTTACGATAGCTCTCAATAATTCCTGCACCTCGCTCATGCTCACGTACAGATAATGCTTGTCGGACCGTCCTCGTCATTTATCTCCAAAAAACCTTTTTTGGATGAACATGAAAACAAAAAATCACAGGCTTGTGCTTCTGCTTACATCGAACTCTGTCCAGATGGTATTCTGTTGGAAAATGTACTCTGTACGATATTATATGGATAAATATGATGAAGTAAAGAAGACTTGATATTTTACAACTATGGGAACATTGGACTTATATATACATCTAAGGGAGAAATTCCCGCTAGCCTCGTGTGCCTGTCAAACCTAGTGATGACTAGCCACCTCTCATCTACCATGATGAGCCAAGGTACACTGTAGTACGTAAATATCCAAACGTATAGGCGACAGTAGGCGCGATTAGCGCACTCGGGACATGTGTAGAGAGAGTCGATCTTGTCGGGAACCTGAGACGAAACAGGTAATGATTGAGTCCTAAATTCGAGAGTCAGAATTTCCAACATATTCAAATTATAAAAGACTTGTAAAAACGTGGATTAGTGCCTGGACCGAGTAGTTTTATGGTTAGTCGGAAATAATTTTACCGTAGAAATTGCTCGACTCTCGAACTCGCTGGATCATTTGATCTGGCCCTCCATGCAAGTTGAAAAAAGATTGCTAATTCTCGAGTTATGGATAAATGTAACCTCATTTCGACTTTATGCTTAGTTCATTTCAACCGTCAGCGGACTGTTTTACCTGAAATAGTCAGCATTGGTATCGGCACTTGTGTAGGACCTGAAATAAGCGATTTGAAAGTACGAAGAAAACGGGATTCATGCAGTTATCTCTCAGCCCTCAACATTTGCGTCTTACTTGTATAGGAAAGCTCGTGCTTATATTTTAAGGCTTTATCTAAACAGCTATCGTCAATGAGTGAGTCCACCGTTAGTGCTACCGTAATGCCAAACTAGTGTATGGATACATTGCTTGCCCCAGCTACATTATCGGATGAAAGATTGCAAAGTCAGCAAAGATCTGACTTACGCCCGTGCCTTTCGGTGAAAGATGCTTATGGTGAATTTGCAAATCAAATATTACAACCTGATGATGAAAATGGAACCGAATATTCAATACTTGCTAGTAATACTGGGCAAGAGTCAGTATTAGTTCCATGCGCTACCCCGGATGAAGATATTTTCAATTTCTATAGATTTTGGGGGTCTTGAGGAGCTTCAGGCGCGTGATGATAGTGTTGTGGGTCATCCTCTTCGGATATGGGATTAGTCCAAAATGGTTCAAGTGACCCTACAGATTTCGACGTCGAAAGCATATCAATGAACGATTTTGTCGAAATACGGGAGTATGATTAAGGCGCACGCAATAAATCGGAGATGATTGAGATGGCATTTTGTTTCCAGAGTCAAGGAGATAAAACAGATTGAACTGAACTTTTGGATTAAAATCGAGGCATAAGCGTTAATTGATGTTTGGTTTGGGCTTTGGTATTCGTAACTGAGTCTAGGAATCTCAGACAAAGTTCTAGTAGCACTGGTGCAGTCATGTAGAGTGAAGACTAGTATGGAAGACGTGTACATTGCAGAAAGGTATCGCTATTTTTGGGTGGCAATTATTTCCAAGTATCATTTTTATCATACAAATTATTTAGAGCCATCTTTTAATCGATTATATTCCAACAGTTTTCCCAAACTAAAGGGTTTTGTTCGGATGTTGACTTGAGTAGAGCCCCGCACTCAGTGGTTTTTGCGATTTTTCTCGGCTGCCGTACACCAGCTAGTGGCCATCGCTTCGTTTGCTAGAGATGGGAGATGATTAAAGGCAAAGGGCTCCTCTTAGTGTATGATCGAATAAGGACTTGTCAGAGGTGGTGCTCTTTGAGAGGAGCTGTAAAGTAAGCATAGGAGGGGGTATACTACTGGCATAGGTTTCTTTGGCTTGTAGGCAAAGAAGACCTACATATCCTGTTGGAAATTCTGATATTCGAATTTAGGCCTCAAATTTTATCTGTTTCGGCTGAGGTTCCCGACAAGATTGAACTTCTCTACCCATGTCCCGAGTGCACTGATTTTTACTTTTTTTAAATCATTTGATATGTATTCAGCCATCTAGCTATGACACATGACCGGTGCTATGTATACATGTGGAATGACTCTTTTGACGTTAGAGACACTCATACTCTGGATTTCATTTCCCCTTGACAGCATTTAGACACTATCTACATTCATATTATAATTTAGCCATGAACCGAAAAGTTCCGTATGATCTGAAATTGCACCCTGTTTCGGATTGATCGGGGTTTAAGCTTTTTTGGAGACCTATTCATAACATTGAGAATATGTCCCACAAAATAGAATAGGGATGGGTATGCGGTGAAGAACATTACAGAAATCATAGTCAAGAAACCTACGTGATCCCAGTTTATTCGTGGCTCAGTGGGATGTATTTGTCCTTAATAAAAGATCTAAATTAAGATGTATACCAACCAAGTGTATCATTCATATATGTCACTATTATTGCATCGCTAATCCCCGTCTATATTATAAAGTTTTTTAATGCAGAGCAATTCATCACATATTCAAATTTCTTCAAATATCTAATTATCTTGAACAAATTCTAATAGAACTCTAGCATTTACATCACCTTTCTTGTATGCAAATATGACCAAAAGTATGGCATATAAATTTTGATGTTGCAATATTAGAAGTTCGATGAATCATTCATTTTTGCATCAGATTTTAATTGCGTATGCAGCTATCTAGCTATAACACAATATCAAAGAAAAGTACAGAATAGATGATTCAACGTAAGGGAAGAGCACTCATGCCTCAGATTTCATTTGCAAGTACCACTGCGAAGTTATGGCAGCTTTTTCTTCACCCCAAGTCAACCCTCATCCGTGAATACTCACCCAGGGAAACGTCTCAAAAACTCCGAGTTTTCCAGACATGCCTCCATCATCCGTTCACATTTCTCTGCGCGAAATATGGTCTTTGGTGTCTCCTTCCCAAGTGGAGTATGTACCCAGGCTACTCAAACCATACCAGAGAACACCACCAGAAGGCGGACCACGGCACCTTCCATCGTTTGCTTGTTTTTATGGTGTCAGCAGCACTCTCGCAAGCGGAGTCTTGGCGCGCACAAAGCTCAATTTTTAAAAACTCTTGGCCAAAATTCGAAATTTCACGCCCTTCGAGGTTATATCCTTCCTTTGTATCATCTTGTGAGCTTGTCCTGATCCCTCTCACATCCATCCCAAAGAACTGTCTCCCAGATTTGTGCGCCACGCTTTGCTTCCTCCGCCG